ATATCTTAGCAAAAGTATATATGGTAACCAATGATATGTTGGTATAAGTGGAAAAAGATCGATTCTCTTTAAATAAGATCTTGAGTTCGAATCTTATAAATGAAAAAACAAGCATTGAGAGAGTTTCTATTAATAAAGTCCAATGCGGTTCAATTACAAATTAATTAAAATTCAATGTGATTACCGGATATTGAGAAATTAATACAAAAAAAAGTATATATAGTATATATCTATACCTGATATGAGTTCACACAGGGTCAATATGTATAAGCATTCAAACTTAAATTGATTCGACCGACATCGGCAATTAATGGAAAAAAAATGAAAATTATGAAAGGTGAAGTATGAAAAAGGTGTTGTTCAACATAGATTGTATTTTTTTTCTATTGTTTCAATATTAAAATTATCAAAATATTATTAATAAATAAACATAAAACATAATTTTATTAACGATATTATAGTAGTTTTAGTATTAAAACTACATAAAAGAGTACCATTCATACTGAAAAACACTTTTATGACGAAGTATTTCCTCAGTGTTCCTTCAGTCAAAATATTCATGGCAGCCAATTATATTCAACATCAAGAACTTGAATATTAAGAGATGGATTGGGCTAGAACCGTCTTACACCAGGTTTTGGGCCTTGTTTTCTTGGCCCCTGTTCGCCTCTGGGTGAATTATGAGAGTTGCACCAAGGTTTATAAATACACTTTCATCTAACTTTTTATAGATGTTACGAAACAATTTATGCATTTCAATAGTAATTTCATTTTAGAAAATATAAGAAATTTTAAACTTGAGTCGTATGACATGCAAATAAGATGAATGAAAGGATAAATGAAAGGATGAGAAAGGTTGCCTCCCATAATTGCCCCAAAATCAAAAAAAAAAAAAAAAAATTGCAGGTGTTTGGCCTCAGCTTATGAAATATTACAGGTGGCTTTCCCATTTGAGCCCACTACCCATGGATGGTGGCAGTCTTTTTAGTGTCCGGATGCTATTAGCCCCCACTTCTTGCATAATAATAATTTTATTTAAAATTGAATTTTAGGTGTCTAGCCTAATGGGTTTTGTCTCATCCTGATACTGAAGTTAAAATGAATTACACAAGTAGGGTGCATTCTTTGTCCATATTGTAAGCCCAATGGGCTTCATGAGGTATTCAGATTTATATTATTCTTAGGCCAATGACTCATGCCTAAGGCCCAAAGGTAATCCATTTCCTTTTACCTTTTAAAACCAGTCTTTTTTTTTTTTGGTAAAATTTTGGAACCAGAGTCGTTTTGCCTAGCACAATTATTTAGAAAAACAAAGAGGATAGAACCTGTAAATGAATTGAGCATTTGTTTGATATTACCTTTGAATGATAATCTCATAATCAAAAAAATATTATGCAGTTTTGGACTGCATTAATTGCACATAATTTAAAATTGAATAGAAGTAAGAACTTGATGTAGGGCTATCCCTTATCAAATAATTTTTATTTTATAATTTAATATAATTTAAATTACACAACAAAATACTCATCTCATGATGTGTTAAAAAGAAAAGATAGAAATAGAAAGCAAACTCAAGTTAAAAAAAAAAAAAGTTGAGCGACTCAACAATCTCTTCCCAAATGTGAGCCAGAATTTTCATTTAAGGTAGACAAAACTATACCTTTAGCCCTCAAACTTTCAACCTTTTTTCTCAATTAAGTGCTCTAACTAATTTTTGGTTGATTATTTAATTTGAGAAAATCTATTTAATTAAATATTAATTATTAAGTTGACAAAAACATTAATATAAATTAAATTAAAAATTTTGGCAATAGAAGTAGCACCAACTGATTTCCTTAACATGGGCAATGCCAAATGCAACATCTATAAGCCTAGGAAGAGTAAGATTCTTACGAGAGCACTAGCCAAAATTAACTTTCAAATCCACTAGTAAAAACTATTTTTAATTATTTTTATTTAAGTAGTTTTAAATGATTAAATAATCTAAAGTAAATAATTAGATAAAAGTCTACATGCAACCTTAAAAGTAAAATAATAAATTGGAGTTTATGTACACTAAATCAAATAGTTAAGCGATTGAGCAATTGAAAATTAGTTTGAGAACATTATTAGTAAAACTTATAAGTGTAAGGGCTTAAAACAAGGTTTTTCGTTATAAAATGGCATTTTCCGCGTCCTTTCCCCTATTGCAGAAATGAAGGATCGGTTTCTTTACCTCATATCTAAAGGAATATGTTTACTTTATCTTAGATGTGAAGGAAGTTTAGTTTTTTCCATCTCATATCTAATGGAAATCAATTTTCCCTACTTAGATCTAAAAGGGTATGATGATTTCTTTTCCTTTTTCTTTATTTATCAAATTCAAATATCTACAATGAGTTTTCGGGATCTTAGATCTAAGAGGCAAGATTTCCATCTCATATATCACAGAGATTAGTTTTTCCTCCTCAAATCTAAAAGGGAATGGTTTCGTTATCTCAAATTTGACTATAAGTAATGTTTATTTTGATATATATATATATATATATATATATA